TTCTGAACAGACACACACCACAGGGAAACAGGTGCTGGCTGGGGGACGGCCTTTCACACTCTCACACTCAGGGCTGTCCGTGGCTAGCTGAGAAGACAGTCTGTCTTCTGGCCCTGGAAGTTCTCCCTTGGGCAAGAAGGTGATTCAGCACCAGCTGGGGAAACAGCACCCCTGCCTGTTCGCAGGATCTTCAGGGAAACCCTCCAGAGGATGCTCTTTGGGTTCCCTTAGAACTTGGACCCCATGCAAGCGCTTTCCACACGCCCTCCCAGGAGGTTGAGAAAGCACATTCTGCAGGCTGTGGGAGGCCTGGTCTGAGCACGGGTGTCCAGAAAAGCCTCCGAGGAAGTGGTTGTATGCCTTCCCTTGCAAACTCAGAGTTGAGTAGAAGAGCTCACCAAATAGGGCTAACACCACCAAGTTTCCTCACAAAGATTGACAAGGCCAGATGGGGTTGTGGAGCGGGGCCCCAAATCCCAAGGCTCTCTCTTTAAATCCTTCACCTCTTTAGGAATCTCCCTCCTCCTCTGAATAAACATCCCATATCTGCCTCCCCTCAACTGGAGCACATGACGCAGCTAATACTTTGTATGAGGCACAAGGCAAGAACCCCACAAAACAGTGGTGATGTTTCCGTTAGCACAAAACAGGCGCTTCAACGTTTTACAAAGGAAAAGTAGCTCATCCCTTTCCATGCTCCACACGTTTTTGATGTAAGCACCTTACTGAGGTTTTAATAGTTAAATATGCTAAGGATCGACTTTTTGTTGTTCCTTGGGTCTCCTTCGATTCTTGCCTTGCTCTTGAAGACTTTAGTCAGTAGTGCCTTCTGGGTGTGATGAGCATTTCCCTATTTGGGCTGTCCCAGACATAGCCACTAGCCACGTGTGGCTGCTCACTCAGGATTGTGAGACTGAATTCTTAATTTTAGTTTTAGTCCATTTTTATGTAAGTCACAATACTTCTGGCAGGAGTCAACAGAACTTTGGGTTCTCAGCTCTAAATGCAAATGAAATCTTGGAGCTGCTCTGACGCCGCCTTACTCAGTGATGCTCCGCCAGCCTGCCACTTCCGAGTACTTGCTCAGTGCCTGAGCACAGCAGTCTTGCTGTCCCAGGAGAAGCAGGAAGCATGTCGCCAGAGAGGAAGCTCACGCACCCAACCACTTTGGACGTTAGAGCATGGGCGAGGGGGGGGGGGCAGCGGGCAGGCTCCATTTATTTATATCACAGAGTGTTACAGTTGTCGGCTCTGCAGCTGAGAAACCGCTAGGGACAGGGACAGAAATTGGCTTTGTCTATGTTCCCTGGCACCTACTTCTGTTGTTCAAAGGATGCCAGAAGAATCAGGGTTTGGGAGGGTGGGGACAGGAGAGTTCTGAGTGTGCAGACGCTCTCTGGGTGTCATTAGAAAAAACGAAGCTCACTCACTTTCATGTCTGCATCAAGACTGATACAAATGTCATCAGGTTATCATGGTCCATCCACAACAGGGACAGTTCTGGCTGTCCAAGGCATGGTGACAAGGGTCTATCAAATAAGTGCTTTGAACAAAGCTGGGTCTGGCTGCGTCCTGACTGGGATATGGTTATAGGGGCCAGACTCAACACAGGGGTTCTGAAAGGCAAAGTCTCCCTTGTTCTTTCCACAGACATTGACCTCCCCCAAGAAGAAACAGATTGGGTTCATAAGCAGGGCAGTCACAGACCCAAGGGCTGACAGCTCACTGTGGAGACTCTTGGTGTGCTCTGTAATACACAGCCACCTGGGGGCCTTGTAAAACATGCCGCACACCAGGCTTAGGCCGGCTTGTCACCACTGGGAGGTGGTCAACCTTTATAGGGTTAGGTCTGTGACAATCACAGGGGTCTACTCTTAAAGAGGACGGTCTAGCCCCTGCCTCCTTCTCCAATTTTGCCCTTCATGTACTTCCACCATGGTGCACTCCCCCACCACAGAGCTAAAAGCAGCAGGACCAACAGCCATGGATGTGAGCCCAAATCTGCACTGTGAGCCAAAAAGAACCTTTTCTCTCTGTAAGTTTACTATCCTGGACATTTTGTTACAGTAACAGACACTGACCAGCACAACCCAGAACAGCTCAGTTCTGTCACTTGGTGTCTGGGCTCTCCCTGTCCTTTCTAGCACATTCTCTGCCCTGTGTCCAACACATCCTTTCACCTGTAAAACAGGGAACTCGTTGGCATGAAACAAATGTTTCAAATCGCATAATGGCTAAGAAGATAAAGAAGGATTCATCCAGAAGTGGGACAGAAGGTACACTGTTACTACTTTACACTAGTCATCTACATAGATTTCCACGTCATTTCTCCTGCAGAAACCCCTCCTCTTCCTCACCTCTTCACTGTGAACTTTCTAAGGTACTCTATGCAATTTTCTCCGCTCTCCCACTGCACCAGAGCAGCCTTTGGCTAGACAGCTACCAAACTCTAGGACTTGAATACCCTGTGAGTTTCCCGTTCCACAGGAACTTGTGTAATACAATACAGAATACTGTAGAACTATCATCCTTGCTGACCCAGGAATTCTGATTCCAGGAATTGATTGGAAGGAAATAATTAAGAATGTCCATAGTGTTTTATTGTGAGAACGCTTACATACGTTATTACAATGATAAACAACTGGAAATGATCTGATAAGTCTAGAGGACAAGAGGCTCAGGGACTGCTTGATACTGAGAAACTTACAATCAGTCCCCAAGTCAATCAACCAACCCCAGAGTTGAAAGTTAAGGCAATGATTGAGGGTAGATGCATATTTCACAAGACTGGAATCTTACAGATTTACAGTGACTAGCTTTGAGATTATTCTAAAATTAGAGGAATAAACGTCAACACAGGGTTGCCATAGGGGCTTGTGTAAGCTTTGTCTGAAGTTCCATTGACCTTAAGCAGGTCTAGTTCTAGAGAAAAGGAGGAGAAAGGAGATGGAAGTTTCTCCTGCTTCTAAGTCCACATGCCTCTGAGCAGGAGCAGAATCAGAAGAAGCCATACTTAAGAGCCAAGACAAAAATGTTAGGGAGATGAAGGAAGAAGAGAAAAATGCAGGGGAAAAGGGTTTTTTAAACAGCAAGAGGAATCAAGAAAAGACTTTAAAAAAAAAATAAGACACTGTAGTGAGAGGGCAGTCTGCTTCAAAGAGATTTTTATAGTAGAATTCAAAGTCCCTGAAAAATTGAGGGACCAGCACTCCAGTGTAGGGAGTGGCTGGGCAGGAGGGGACACTTCAGAGATTGGCAGGCCAGCTGCTTGTCCCCATGGAGATGCCTGACCCTCTCCTGACAAGGTCAAGCCCCAGCATCGCCACCCTACAATGCAGCCTGGGTGCTGAGCATCAAACCGAACCCTCTTTCCCTGTGAAATCTATTCACAACCTCTTTCAAAATCAAAGCAAACTGAACACCTTGTCTCTGGAGGGTCTGCTCCTATCTGGTTGTTCCAGCTGGAGAGGCTGCGACCTGTGGGCCATCCAAATTCAGGTGACAGGAGCCTGGTCCCTCTCCCTGGAACCATGGGATTGCTGCAGGGCACAGTCCAGCCCAAGCTTGCAGTTCCCACAGAAGCTCTGGCTCCCACAGCTGCCGGCCCTTTCCTTAGCAGCCCCCCTACCCAGAACAGCCCTTCCATATTTGACGGCTCCTCCCATATGTTCAGTGCCAAGGCCACACTGTGTGGGGATCTGGGTGTATTCTACAAACTGTTTCTATCCACTCATAATCTGTACCAAACCCAAGCCCACAGCGAACCTGGAGCCTGTCGAACATAGGAAAACGTTCTGCCCGCTGTTTGAAAAGGAAGGGTTTGGCAAATGCAGGAAGCAGTGGAGGCTGGTAGTTCTGTGACTGGAATCAATGCCAGGAAGGGATGGAGATGAGAAGGACACACCAGGACTTTGAAAACCGGGTCTCCTGGAGGCTGCTCTCCTAACTTCACAATTGCTAATAAGGCCGGTCACAAAGTTTCCTTTCCGCAGGGTTCTGGAGGATCCCGTCCAGGAACCCTCGTTTCCCTCAGCCCCTGTCCGGTTCTGAGCAGACTGCCGGTATATCACACGCCTAGAGCACACATACTACTAATCTCCGTCTCCCAGCCTGCTCCCTCTAAGGATGCTCACTCACTCTGGATAATACCATCAGCTTGAATTAGCTGTCACCTGGGCCCACAGTAACATACCTAAAACGAGGTTGGGAAGCTAATGACAACCCAACTCTAACTGCCATGAAAAGGTGGGCGTGGTGCGACTGCTTCATTCCAAGGAAGTGGGCTAGGAGGGTACCCATCTTCGCTAAGCCCTCCAGCTGTGGGGTCAGTTGACTTCGCTAATAATGCTTAATGAAGGAGGGACTTTTATTCTTTTCTGCAGGCCCACCCATCTCGTCTGTCAGCAAATGGACCCCTTGATCCAAACAAAACTTCATCCTCTTAAGCCCTGTCTCTAGATTGGTGTGGCACGTGGGAGATGAGCTTCAGACTGCCCACCAGCCACACAGTCTGTTCCTTGGGGGGCGGGGGGAGTCCTTGCCTTCCTTCCCTGCACCCCAGATTCTCTCAGAACTTTGTGGGGGGCCCCGTGGGTACCTCTCTTGAAGGTCCCCATGTCCCCAGGACCCACTCCCACCACGTCCCCATGTTTCCTGCATGCAGCTGCCCTAGGAGGGATGTGAAGTGGTCCCCAAGAGCAGCCTGGCCTCCTGGGGGCTCTTTGGGGACCCAGGGCAGTTGGCCAGCTCGGCGGCCCCTCGAGGGCATACAGCACAAGTAACTTTACTGTGACAAGAGCGAAGCTGCGCTTGATAGCCTCGGGAGGGCAGGGACCCCAGCGACTCCCCTGGCCTCCCGGAGCAGGCCAGGATGTCAGCGTGGCCGCCAGACATTTAAATCGGCCCCACGGGAGGCGGCGTGGAAGAGGCCGGAAAGGCAGCGGCCGACTTGGGGGACCGCGGGGTGGCCGCCGGGGTCGAGGAGCCGCGGAGACACTCACCAGCGCGTGTTGTCGTGGAAGTGCTCCAGCACCGCGTAGCCGAAGAAGGAGCCCGCCGGGCCCTGGAAACGCACCGGGCGCTGCGCGTCGAGGTTGTAGGCGCCGGCCGGGACCCCCGCGGCCACCAGCGCCAGCAGCAGCGCTCGGAGCCCCCCGGCGCCCGTCCACGCCGCAGCCCGGCCGCCCATCCCCAGCCGGCCGCCGCCCTGCGCCCTGCCCCACAGTCGGGGCTCCCGGGACACGCCGCTGCCCGGGGCGCGAGCTGTGCGCTCCGAGTCGGAGCCCGGGACGAGGCGATGCGCTGCAGTGCGATCCGGAGCGAGGCCAGGGGCGGCCGCCAGCGCGCAGCGTCCTCTTGATCCCCGTGGCGAGGTCTGCGCGCTCGGAAGCAGCGGGTCCCGGGCCCGGGCGGCGCTGAACTGCGAAGAGGCGCGCCCGCGGGGTGGGCGGCCCGGGAGGCCCGGGCGGGACAGGCCCGCAGCGCCCCCTGCTGGACGTGGCGCCAGGAACACCGGCTGGATCCGGTACTGGACCCGGTGCTGGACCCCAGTGAACTCCATCCTCTCCAATGCCCCTGGCTCTGTGGGGGCCCAGCTGGCTGAGTCTCTCTCCCTTTGTGTTACCCTGTGAGCCTCACACGAAGCTCCAAAGCCACCCGAGCGAAGGATGGGTGAATATTCTGGTCCTGCCCATCTGGAAGCTCTTTTTCGGAAGCAAACACTCAAGATCTTGAATCAGCTGGTGTTAGAGAATTAGTCACATGGAAGCAAGCAGCGCGTCCTTCCAGTCCAGACACGAAATAAAGCCAAATCTTGCAAATCAAATTATATAGACGTTCAACAAGCACCCACCGCACCGCAGCTCAGCCGCTGGCAAACTTTTTATCTCTGACTCTATGAAGTTGACTAGGCCAATTTTAATGTTACTACTGAACTGACTCTTTGCTCAGGTAAAATCTGACCACATTCCTCCCGCACCCACTCTCACCCCCCCCACACACACACACCTCACCCCCGACTCCCCACCCCCGACCCCTGACTCCCTCTCTTCCTCCTCCTCTGCCAAAGTGTCATTCATACTAAACACATGCTTTGCTTGGTCTTTTTCTTTCTAATCAGGTTTGTCCTTAAAACAACCAGTGTGTGTGTGTGTGTGTGTGTGTGTGTGTGTGTGTGTGTGTGTGTGTAAGGTGCGGGGGCGGGGGGGGGGGAAGCATGTTTTGGAATTATCTAGTCACCGGTAGTCTAAACACATGGATCTCTACAGGTTAAGAGCCTCCCCTAGCTGTCATCAGAAACAGGGTCACAGAGAGGCTACACTGCTGTCTTTGGAGATGGAGGGAGGGATCTATGAGCCAAATTCAGGCCAGCTTCAAAAAACTGAAGACAGTGAAGTGTCTTCTCCCTGGAACACAGCCCAGGGATGCCTTGCGCCCCGTAGACCCACGACCGGCAGAATTGTTGACAATAAGCTTCGTTGTCCTAAGCCACTGTCTTTAGGTCATTTGTGTAGCTCTGATGTGTAAGTGTTGTCTCAGTCAGGGCTACCGTTGCTGTGATAAACACCACGACCAAAAGCAACTCAGGGCAGGAGAGGGTCTATCCCAGCTTACAGGTTAGTCCATCAAAAGGCAGGACATGAAGCCAAGCCAATAGTTGAGGGAGAAATCACTGAGAACTAACTTGTTACTGGCTTCCTCGCTGGCTTGCTCTACCCGTGCTTAGCTAGCTTTATATATGACATAGGTCACCTGTTCAGGAAATGGTACCACGCACAGTCTGAGCCCTTACACATTAATTAACAACCATCCCCACAGTCATGCCCACAGACAAATCTGATGAAGACATTACTCAACTGAGTTTTTTTTCCCCCCAGGTGATTTCAGTCTGTATCAAGTTGACAGTTAATGCTAACTAGTATAGTACCTTAAGTTCTATATAAAAGTGTGTGTGTGTGTGTGTGTGTGTGTGTGTGTGAGTGTGAGTGTGAGTGTGATGTGTGTACTCCTTAAGGAAAGACCCATAGATTTTTAACAAATTCTTAAGAGGTCAGGTAGCCTTTTAAAGGTTAGGAACTGGGAGCTGAAGGAAAATGGCTCAGAGGTTAGAAGCGCTTCCTACTCTTGCAGGGGACCTGGGTTCAATTCTCCACACCCACATTTGGCTCACAAACAACTGCAGTCCCAGAGATCCAACACCCTCTTCTGGTCTCCACAGGCACTGAATGTATGCTGTGTACATACATATATGCAGGCAAACAATCATACACATAAAATAAAAGTAAATGAATCTTTAAAAGAGGTTAGAATCCATTGTCTAAAACACACGGATTACAGTCTTTACAAACTAAACCTAAAAATGATACTGGTTAAAACTGTTCCCTTTCATTTCATAAAACAGGGGCTCCTAAACATGACCATACATCTGAATCCAGGGATAGCATAAAAAAAAGACAGATTTGGGGCTAGAGAGATTGGCTCAGCCATTAGGAACATTTGCTGCTCTTGCAGAGGACCCAGATTTACTTCCAAGACCCACACAGTGGCTCATAGCCATCTGTAACGCCAGTTCCAGAGAATCACTTAAAAACAAAAAAGATACATAGCACAAGCAGTGAGCTGGGTTGGGGCCACTAAGGGGTAAGGTCCAAGAGTCAAGTTGTTAAGCAATTGGGGTTAGGAAGACATGCCCCCAGGAAAGAGATCCCCAGTTCTTCATTGTGGTCCTGACCATGTGACATTATGGCAGGAAAACCTTAGACTCTGGAAAAAAACAAACAACAAAAAAAAAAAACCCAAAACAACACATGGGCTTAGTAACCAGGTCTGACCAGCTGTGGCAGCCTGGTAAGTCAATGCAACAAGGACACCAATAAACTGACAAGCCTTTGAAACATATTGATGAGCTGTTTGAGGTAGTTTAAAAATTATAAAAAGGCAATGGTTATTAGTTATTCATGTTGTCTGACATCTGTAGCCAGCAGTGAGCTCCATTTCCTCGCTGCCAGAATAAGCTTTCCTGTCTCTAGAATGGCTGAATAGAGGGCTGGCGCGTCCATGAATCTTCTCATTGCTGTGAAAAAGTATCCAACAAGAAGAAACTTACAGGAAGAAACTTACTTGCAGCTCAGTTTGTCAGAGCACAGCCCACCGTGGTGGGGAGGGCAGGGCTCAGCCAAGGGCTGCAGGAGCTCACAGCTGGGACCCCTCCCAGCTGGGCAGACCAGGATGCAGAGAAAAGGGATATAATACCTCTCAGCTGGCTTTCCTCTTTCCCCCCCTTTTAAGTTCAGTCTGAGATCCCAGCCTATGGGTTGCTGCTGCCCACACTGGGCATGGATCTTCCACCTCAGTCAAACCTCCACGGAAGTAGACATGTCTGAAGATTTGTCTCCTTGGTGGCTCTGTCTTCAATCAAGTCGTCAATGACAACAAATGCACACAGGGGTAAGCATTCTTTTTCAAACCTGGCCACACAGGAGGCAGATTTGCTTCCTGGCACTGTGTCTTTTTAGAAACTGCACCTCTTGTCCAATTTTCTAAAGAGATGACAATCCAATGTCCCTCTTCCTTTGCACCCACAGATTAGTGCAACTCTCAGCTCTCATCACAGAAGCATCTTTTTGCAATAGATGGTGATGAGACTCCCAGGTCAAGGTGCAAAGAACAAGAAACACTGTTCAGCCCTATATGGAGCATCCATTTCACACTTCCTTTCTCCCCTAGGCTCAGGGATCATTGCGGAAAGAAGGGCAGGAAGACTGTGAGAGCCAGAAGGAGTGGAGGGCTGCTGCAAAATGGTGTTTGCTGGACCGAAAGAGCAGCAGCTCACGGGACCTCACCGTGGCTGTGACTCCATGCACAAGACCTGGGCAAGATCAAGTCAGATAAACTCTGAGCACAGATGGGGGAGGGCTCACAGCTCCCACCCCTCGCTGAAGAGCTATTGGCAATTGATGGCCACTGGGGAAGGGAGTCCATTTTCTTCAGAGTTGTGACCCCACATGGGATGCTCAAGCTCTAGCGAATGTCCCTATGTGGCAGCACAAAGTAAACCCAGTGGGTTTAAAAAGAAGTATATGATCTGAGAGGGAAGGTCGTGCACACGCGCCTGTTGGGGGTAGGGGGTGACGGTAGGAGCTCCTGGCTGGCACTTGGCTGTATTTTTAACTAAAGAACTGTGTGTAGTCCTTCTGCTTCTGTGCTGGGATTAACCCAGGGCCTTTAAACATGCTAAGCACATATTCATCTGAGTTACATCCCTGTGGTCTTAGAAACTGTCAATCTGGCTAATCTCTTTCCCTTTAATAGTACTTTTCATTGGACAGGGTCTTGCTATATAGCCCGGGGTGGCCTTAAATGCTCACTCCTCCTGCCGCCTCCAGGCTGCGATTTCACAGTTGTCCCCATGCCCAGCTCCTAGTCACACTCTGCTTCCTTCAGGTCTTTAGACGTTCCAGCTTTGATTATTCAGGGTGTGAAGGTTGTAAGTGTGCTCCTCCAGCTGCAGCCTCTGCATGCTGTCTCTCCGTGGCTCATTGCCTTGTGTGTGCTGTAAGCTTGGGCTGCAAGGTCATGTTCCTTGGGATTTTTGTCTTTGTTCAGAACATATTTTTTTCATAGACAAATTGCGCCTCTTTCTGGCAGTCACCTGGGAACTGCTGATCTGCCTTTGCTGTGACCTAATGTCTGGCTTCGCTAGGTGACTGGTGATAGACAATAAATACACAGATAGGTAAGTACTAGGTGATCATAGCTAGGTAGACAGACAATAGATAAGAGGTGATGGATGACAGACAGGCAGACAGATACAGGCAATAAATAAACAGATGCAACATCAAGTAGGCTGTTTTTGTGCTCCTGAAGGCTGCCTTCCCATTGTATTCATTTATATCCTCCAAGAGTCACAACCCCACCAGGAAAGACTTAGTCATGGTGTTTATCACAGCACAGAAAACAAACTAGAACAACGTTGGATGTCTCTTTCAATGGAGCAGGCTATCCCAGTTCACCTGTGAAGGAGTTGGGCTTGACCTGGGGCCACCGGTCTGGCGATCCCCCAGGCTTGTATCCCTGGCTTTGCCTCTTCTCCCTGGCACGTGTGAGGCCCACTTAGGTCCAGATACACCCAAGGCCGAGGTTGACTTCATCACCCATTTCTCCTCTGTGTTAGAATGTTTCATTATTTTTGGCTTCTGAGTATTTACTTTCTTACCAGCCAAGCCATCCCTTGCTCAGTTTTATATTTAATTTAACAATTTGAAATGTTTTGTGGGGGAAAAAAACCCAGCTCTAGACATCTGGGTATTTATCTGGCTAAAACGCCAAAAAGAAAAATTCACTAATTTTCAGTCATTGAATAATTTAATCATGTGTTAACCCCATTGCTTATGAGGAAGTTTACTTTATCTCAAATCCTGTTGTGTGTGTCTGTGTAGTGTGTGTGTGTGTGTGTGTGTGTGTGTGT